TGGTTCTTTCCTTACTCTAACGTTCTTCTATTTCTAATTCTCACTGTTTTCTCTTTCTTTCTAATATTTTTTATCTCCTTTAACTCTGTTCTGCTCTTTTTATTCTTTTTCTCTCTGCTTTTATTCTCTTTTCTCCTTCTCTTATTTACTCACCATAAGGAAAATCATGGTTCTCTCTTATTCTCATCATACTACCATGAAGGAAAATCTGGTTTCTCTATTCTCACATACTCTCACTAACCATGGAAGAAATCATGGTGCATGCAGTATGAGATGTACATGCAATTAATGCAAAAAGACTACATGTTTCTTTCTTCTACTCTCTATTCTACATAGCTCAAACTCTCTCATTCTTTCTCATACTCTCTCATTCTTTCTCAAGCTTTCTATTCTTTCTCAAGCTTTCTCAAGCTTTCTCATCTTTTAATTCTCTCTATTACTCTTTCTCATTTTATAATTATTTTCTAATAACTCTCTCTTTAAATGTCACGGCCCCATCTTACCGGAGGCACGGCCGGGACTTCTCCCGCTCTACGTGACTCATGATTCTCTTTGTCTCTCTTTCTCAAAACCATCTCTGTTAACTTTCTGTTGTAGGTCACGGCTCATATCTACCGGAGGCACGGTGGGTACATCCCACACTTCGTAACCCTACTCATTGTCTCCTTTATTCTTTCATGTTTGGTCATTCTTCCTCACTTGCATGTCACGGCCTCATCTTACCGGAGGCACGGCCGGGTGGAGATCACAAAAGCACCAACCCACTCTCGTGACCATTCTACTCATTCTTTGCCGATCAGACTTGGTCATGCATGATGGATTCGAAACCCTTAGCCACGTGAGTGTATCTCTCTCTCTACTAATGTACGGCCCCAATTTACCGGAGGCACGGCTGGAACCTCATGTCCATCTCTGTGACTGTCACGGCCCACATCTTCCGGAGGCACGACTGGGGATCACAAAGCACCCACTCTCGTGACTTACTCATACTCATGGGTTCCCCATCGCACACCTACGTCCTCATTCTCTTTACTTTAGAGTTGCTTATTCAACATCTCTACTCTCTTTCTCAAGCTATTACTCATAGTGGAGCTTATACCAAATTCTACTCTCTCTTAAGCTATTACTCATAGTGAGCTTATACTCAAAATTCTCTACTCTCTTAAGCTATTACTCATAGTGTAGCTTATACTCAAAATTCTCTACTCTTCTCAAGCTATTACTCATAGTGTAGCTTATACTCAAAATTCTCTACTCTTTCTCAAGCTATTACTCATAGTGTAGCTTATTCTGAAGTAGTCTATTCACAAAATCTCTACTCTTGCTCAAGCTAATATTCATCTCTTTTCAAGCTAGTACTATAGTATAACTTAACTCTAGAGTAGTCTTTCACAAAGTTCTCTACTCTTTCTTAAGCTATTACTCATAATTGAGCTTATACTCAAAACTCTACTCTCTTTCAAGCTATTACTCATATGCACAATTGCTATGGATGGTTTAGCTCCATTAATGCACTTATGAAATGCCAATATGCATAGTTGCAAGAATTAAGGTTCACAACTCATGCTCATATTCTTTAGGCATTTAATCAAACATCTCATAATACACAAAACTCCTCTCTAACTACACCTCTATTTCTCTTTTTAATCATCCAAAATGGGAAGAAAACTCCCTTCTATGGACATAAATCCTATCATATAGAACAATCCCTAAAAATCACTCAATCTCCTCCAAATCATCTCAAACTCATCACACATAACACTTCTCATAAAGGATGCATATCCAATAAACACAATATGAATATTCATCTCAACCAATTCTCAACAAGTAAACATATATTCTACTCAATTTCTCAACAAGCATCATATATAATGCATAAAGAAATCTCCACTCAAGATTGTTTAAACTTTAGCTTGGTTGGATTTACTTACCTCATACTTGAGTAGTCTTCACTAAAGTTCTTTACTCTTGTGGACCTTAGCTTTCCTTATTTCCTAAACATAAACTTAGTAAGAACTTAACCCTTACATAAATAAAACTCATATCTAGAGTGGGGATTCTTACCTCTTATTGTTTAGGATCAATTCTTTGTCAAGTCCAACTCAAAACTCTCAAAAATCCTTTGGAAGATTGAGTGAGGAATTGAGAGAAAATGAGGGATGAAGAGGCAGTGAAAATGGGTGAAATGAAGGGTCACTAAGCTTCAACCTTTTTAGCTCAAAATATATTCATTCATTCCCATATTGCCCTTGATCTTCTTGAAAATTCCACCTTGACCTTTGATTCATTACACTCACACCCCCATTCTAGCATATCTCCATAAAATTCTCTTACATTTTACTCCCCACTTTTCCTGCTAACTAAGGGTAGAAAGTCATTTTGCCCCTATGTAAGATTCTCTAGAAACCTCAATACACATTTTATTCGGCTCTTCGCCGCGGCGAAGAATTCTTTGTCGCCCGGCGAAGAATTACAGAATCGACATTGCAAATTCAGAGTGACGTCACCGTGGCGAAGCTTCTTCTCGCCCCGCCGCGAAGGCGCAAGGCTCAACTCCAAATCCGTCAAGTCTTGACCAATTCTTGGGTACACACTCAACCAAACCCAAAACTAAACTCAAAAGGGCCAACCAAACAACATGAACAATAAACAATCTCATTTAGGAGCAATCAGTAACCTTTAGGCCATACCATAAACAAGGTTACGTATCTCAAGTGGGGCGTTACAGTGCCAGTTCGGTTCTACCCGCAGGTTCTGGTTACCGCCTACCCGTGTCACCCTAATTAAACCTAAGATTATTGTTTCTTGATAAATTTATCCGAACTAAATAAAAATTTTTGAAGATTGAAAGAGTAAGTTATTGGTAAAGAAAGAAAAAAAATATATAATAAAAAAGGCTGAGGTGGAGTTTGATATTTTTCTAAAAAAACTTAGGAAATTATTAATTTTCTATTTTGAAATCCATAAATAAATATCCTTAATGGTGAAAGTGAGGATTAATTAAAAAATTATAATCACCAATTTTTGTGAATTTAAATATGGGCGATCAATTAGAAAAACAAAATATCCAACAAATATATATAATATTGCAATTATCAATTATCACAGACGACATAAACCTAGGACAAAAAAATATGGATGAGACAAATATAATATATATATGTTTTTTTTTTAATGACCAAAGTGTTCGAACCAATTTACGTGTAACTTAACATGTTATAGGACTATTTTTAAGTCAATTTTTAATTAATTATATCATAAGATTTTATTGGATATAGTTAATCTATTTAATTTTAATTTGGAAAATTTGTAAGTTAATGTTTTCCATGTTCATACTATTTAAAAAGATTACGGATTGGAGAGATATTGAAACATTAAAGAACAAAAAAATATTTTTTATTTTAATTTTGTGAAGTTAATTAAATAATTTCTCCTATTAATTTTAGACATTCTTATTAACCATAGATATATAATAATAATTACTATTATAGTAAACGACATGTTCCCACCCAAGGTTTATTGAAATCCAAGTGGTACCCCTGGTTTCATAAATTTCAGATTCCTACCCTTAAAAGGATACCGTTTCCTTTATTTTATCTGTTAAAGGCTAAAATTGTATTTTTCTCTCTTCCTTCCCATTTCTTCTTCATCTCTGCCTCCACCTCCCACTTCTTTTTTCTTTCATCTAAAACGGTTGCCGTTTCAGGCCACCACCGTCTGATTCTGGCGGAATCACCTCACCCACCACCATCTAGCCATCACCATTCACCACCACCTTTCAACACCACTATGACCAAAACCCCCCGAAGCCCCACCACCACCCACCACCTTTCCACTCATCCACCACCATCACAATCCCTCAAACTCAAAGCTCCACGCCAAACAAGCACCACAAATCACTCACCACATCAGCGACAAAACAACCCAAAAACCATCACCAGACACTCATAAATCCAGCCCAAACCCCTCCAAAAACCACACCAAATCACTCACAATTCAGTCACAAACCCAACCAAAAACCACCACCAAACAAATCACAAATTCAGCCCAAACCCACCCAAAAACCACCACCAAATCACTCACAAATTCAGCCACAAACCCACCCAACATCCACCACCAAATCACTCAAAATTCAGCCTCAAAAACACCCAAAATCCAACATCAAAATCACTCACAAATTCAGTCACAAACCCACCCAAAAACCACCACAAACTTAGCCACAAACTCACCTAAAAACCCAGATTGGAAATGCAGGAGTTACCTGGGAGAGAGAAATGAAACTGAGGTTTTGTTGAGAGAAGAAGAAGGAAAAAAGCGGCAACCCAAATCTGGCCACAGTGTGATGGCCTTACGGCGGCCAAATCCAGCCGCCTCGGAGCTTATTCGGACAAGGAGAAAGAAGGGAAGAACAAAAGAGAGGAGGAGCAAAAAGAAGAAAAGAAGAGGAGGAGGAGGAGGAGAGAAGAAGAGAAGAGAAGAAAAAAAAAGAAGGGGAGAAGAAAAAGAAGAGGCGCTGGCGTGGTGGTGTAGGGATGGAGGGTTGGAAGGGCTGTGAAGAAGAGAAGGGGAGATGAAGAAGGAGAAGTTTAACGGTAATTGGTTAAAGAACTATATGCCCTATGTTGTCACTAACGACATCCATTTAATGGTGGGAATCTAGAATTTATAAAATCGGGATACCAACCTAGGATTTACTGAACCTGGGGGGGAACATGTCATTTACTCTATATTATAATAGTTTTTGTGAACATAGGATTTCAAGGTCTATGTTAGGTGTTGCGGCCACGACCCAATTCTCATGGTCTCATGCTCAGTTACAACATCACAACGACGCCGCGTTGCACTGTCCTTCCCAACTACAAAAAATATTTAATACCAAAGCCAAAATCGTTCATCGATGTAACAAGTTAAAACCCGTGAAGACCTCCTTCTCTCTAATTCCGCACGAAATAAAAATCGAATACCCTCCCCCAGAAGAAAAAAATATCAAAATCAAATCAAAATCTGAAGATGGAGAGAAGGCAGAGGCAGAGACTTGTAGCGCGTACATGATATAGTAGCTCTCCTTGTGAGTTTGATCGGCGTATCTCGTCCCTTCGGTGACGGTAAACGAAGAGGAATGTATTTCCGAGTACGTCATTTACGAAGGCGACACCGTTTCGGGAAATTTCGTCGTAGTTGACCACGACATCTTCTGGGGCTGATCACCCGCTGCGATTTCACTGTAAGCATACACATTGTCCCCAATTTTACTAGATCCAATTGTTTATGAAATTATCGATGATTTGATGGCTTAGGTTGTCTATTATGTTGAATTTCGTTAGTTATCTTTTTGTTTCAATTAAGGCTGAATGGCTGGGAATCGTATAAAATTGGAGTTTGACCTTAATGACAATTTGGATTTGAAAAGATGATTTTGAGTTGAATCTCGTATGTTTAGCAAACTGTAAGTTGAACCTTAATTATTAGAGATTGTCTTTGTTGAAAAGGAGAGAATTTTCAAAGAAACCTCTGCGCGTCTAGGGTTGATAATAACAAAACAATTTTATCATCTATCATCCTAATTTGGTTTTTTTTTTTTTTTTTTTTTTGACATGGAATAGTATCCATTTCAACCAGGAGGGGTTTACATTTTATGCCTGCATAAATTTGACAATGTAGTTATGTTTGGAAATAAGGGGTTATGATGTGTGGGTTATCATACTTTATAGGCCAAGTAAAAACAACTAAAGTTCTGTGGCTAGTGCTTAGTTGGCTAGTCTTCATGGCAAAACTGACTAGAAAATTTTGTGATTATGTTTCAGTGTGATTTTTATCATTTGAACCCATTTATATTATTATCAAATGTTAATCATGTATTGTATTTCATCGTGGGCTTTCACTCAGGTGACATCTCCTGCCGGAAATGTAGTGCACACTTTGACTGGGACATCTGGGGATAAGTTTGAATTTAAAGCTCCACGAAGTGGAATGTACAAGTTTTGTTTTCGCAATCCCTATTCAACGCCAGAAACAGTTTCTTTCTACATTCACGTGGGCCACATTCCCAATGAACATAACCTTGCCAAAGATGGTTTGTCCTATTCATGTGTAGATGTGTTTTTAGTTTGTTATGATACTTCACATCTATGTATGTACTAGTTTAGGCTGTAAATTACTACCACAAAGACTTTTGCTATTCTTATTGGTGCAACTGTATTTGCTTGTTCAATTTTGTTTGCCTAAGCAATGTGTCTGTTGCAGATACTCTTTGTACTATTCTCTATTTTGATATATACCTGACGTTTACTTGGCTGTGTGCTGCAGAACATTTGGACCCCATTAATGTAAAAATTGCTGAGCTGAGGGAGGCTTTGGAGTCTGTTACAGCTGAGCAGAAGTACTTAAAAGCACGTGATGCTCGACATCGTCATAGTAAGATATTTCTTTTCTTGCTTTTCTTTTCCCTTTGAATTGGATTATGTCATGAATTTATGTAATATGTTATTTCTGGTAATTTCCTGAATTTATGTTCATTTATGAATATATATGATTGATCGCAGAGTAGCAGTCTACCAATCCCCAAATGTGTTTACACTTGTTTCAAGTGTATTTGGGAGACATGAAATTAACTTAGATAGCCAATGGAGTGCTTTTATTTTGAGCATCAGTGTGTTACACTACGTAGAAATTCCTCTTTCTTGCCATATAAAAAATGCTTGATACATAAGTGTTATTTTTTCAGTTCAAATTAATGGTTGGCACATGTGAACTTGAGTTTTGTGTGAATATAAGTCAGCTGTGCTTGTTGCAGTTGCAACTGGCTTGGCCAATAATGTCTCATTGTCCTACAAGAAGCCTAGACTCAGATCTAGTTTACAGCCAAAGGGGATGGCAAGAAGTACCTCCAATTGTGTAACCCATAATTCTCCATCGTCAGCCAAAACTAATAGTTCTTAAGGAGTCAGCACTTTTTGTATATCACTACTGGCAACTTATTACCTGAATGGTTTGTTCTATGTTGTACTGGAAAGGCTAGAGAATAAAGTAAGAATTTCCAAGAAGTTGTAATGTGAAAGTTTAGGAATTTCGGAACAATTCCAAAATCCTACAGGATGTCATCTTAACTTGTTAGAAACTGATAGCAGCCTTGAGAAAGACAAGCATTTTAACCGTTCCAAAATCCTATGAGATGTCAGCATATGTTGTAAGGAACTGATAATGGCCTCAAGATCAATATAAAATCATTTTATCTTTCCTCGGTGCTATGTAGCTGTTTCTGAAGTGTTAATTGTCCTCTCTCAACTTTATGCTTCAAAGGATCTGGCAATTCCTGTAATCAACAGTTTGCCAGCTCCATCTCCATAGGAGCTTACTGCTTTGTTCGTGTATTCATCTTTCTTATAACAATTACCCAGGTATAAATATTCCAGATTTGTTTCAGTTGTAGAGACCTATTGGAGGTTATGAACAATTACTTGATTGTTTGTAGCTTTCATTTTATCTTGTTTCTGTTTGATTTAAGATACAAATAAGTATATATGACACTGATGCTATTTGCACCCTATTTAAGCACATTGTGAATCATGCCTCAAATATACCCACCTTGTCTCAGCTCTAGGACATTATAAAACATGAATTGTATTCACACTTCAAATAAATGTTGCTTTTCCCTGAATGTCTTTTACCAAATTATGGATGAAGATTCACACATTCATTGAAGTGTGTGTGATTGTAAGGCTTCTATATAAAAAGTGTGTTGGTGCTCCAAGAGCTGGAATGAGGCTTGGCACTTTGAATTTCATGGTGTCTGATGTTGTGTGTCTAGGCAGGCTTTCAAATAATTTTGTCCCTCCAAAAGTTGTGTGCTCTACTCTTTCTGGATTTGCATCACAAATATCTGACATCAATTAAAAAAACTGCTCTGACTTTTATTACAATTTTGCTTTTTGTAGTGTAAATGATGTAGCTGCTTACTGATTGCTCAAATCATGTTCATTATTATTAATTATTATTTTTTGCTGCAGCAAACGAGAGCACAAGGAAGCGTCTTTTAGGCTACACTATCGGAGAGTATGTTTTACTGGCTGCTGCTAGTGCACTTCAAGTCGCATATATTCGCAGTCTCTTTAGCAAGTCAGTTGCATACAACCGGGTTTAAGACATGTTATCATCATTGTCTGTTTTAAAACAAGAGGATGGATGTTATAGACAGGTTTAGGAAACCTTGTGCATTCTGTATGACTAAAGATGTGTTGGTTTATACTATTTATTTTTCCATAAATTTATAGAATGAATTTTTGAACGCATAGGTGCACTTGACTTTTTCATTTTCATGTATTTTATTTAGTCGTCCATATGTTGAGGTATTAAAACAGTCACAAGCATTGATAGTGAATTGGAAACTTAAATTAAAGGTTGATAGATGTAATGATTAAAGCTCGCCAAAGAAGAAACTAGAAAACCTTGTATGAGTGTTCAAAAGTATTATTAGCGTTTGGGATTACTCAGTTTTCTCAGACCTGAATTGGTGAAATGAAAGTCTAGTCAGTGCGTTAAATGGAGGATGTTAATGGGGTTTGTTGCCAAGACTGAGCCCTGAACCCTGAGGATGTTGTAGGGGTAAAAGATGTTCTAGTGGGTTGTAGTGGTACCCACCCTTATTATCGCTTAACAATTCCAATCCATACATAATGCTTCAAAAATGTTCAAAGAATCCTAAATGCCGTCCAAGTAAAGGATCATCGTCAACGATAATTGTTCATGTTCTAGTGGGCAAGGTTGTAGATAACAATTCTAGTACCATTCCTCCTCACTATTATTTGTAATACGTATGCGTCATGCGTATATTCCTACTTGGATTTTCAGCTATCTGATAACTATTGAGCAAGGTTTTAAAACCCGACCTGGAGAGTGACTCGGCTAGGTCATCGGGTTGGTCAGTCGAACCGATTCAACCACCAATCGGACATCATCGGGTTGGTCGGTCGAACCTGTTCAATTGTCAATCAAACTGTGATGACGTCATTCTGACATATAAAATAATAAAAATGCGGTTCAACCGTTGGGTCGAATTGGTTGGATCGACGGTTTGTAACAAAAAATCTGGTCTAACTGCGGTTCAAATTGGATCATTTAATATTTTTAGTTTTTTAGTTAAACTGACTCGACTCGATCATCAGTTCTTGATTCAATCGGTTGAATCGGTCGAATTGGGCCGGACCGGGTTTTAAAACCATGCTACTGAGTAACGGTAATGTGAGTGTCAATGACAATGACCCCTCAACAAGCTATAAGAGGACTATAATCTTTACCCATCGTTAAATGAATACTGACCTTTTAAATCGACCACGCGGCTCTAGAAGATAATATGGTGGACCCCGTTTTGTTCCACAGACCTTCTGGAGAGAAAGATAAAAGGTCCAAGTCTTATATTAACTTAATCTGGCCTCTTAATCAGTTTTACTAATTTGTTTATTTTTATTTATTTAAGCTGCGCATGTGCCTTCTCCACCGCCCATTTCCGATTGCCATTTGCCACGCCATCAACGGGTTGTGGATAAGCTCTAACTTTTATTCTTCAAGATTTTGTATTAAAATAATTGATTGCTCAGATATCATACACCTACATAGGGAGAAGGGCGCAACTCTTAGATTTAATACGCTAATATTATGGAATCAATTTATATTTATCGAAATAATCATACATTATTTATAATATAAATTTCATAACGGATAGAATTTTGATCGTGTCCAAATACCATTTGGCCTTAGCTTAATTAATACAGTTGTAACCTACTTGGATGAGATAAGAATTCCGTAATAAATAAATAAGGATAACATTGCATATACAAATATTTTGATAGGATAAGATGGTAAATTTTGATAAAAAGGAAGGAGAATATTGGAAATAAAGTTTAATATAATATCTTATGTCTCAAGTCTTATTATATGTATATATAAGCTATACCAAACCCTGCTTCAACCAGCTTCCTCATAACTTACCATTCATCCTTGTCATCATCATAATCGTCTTGCGAAACTGTGATATTAAGTGCTTCGCACTGTCTTCATTGCCAATCGAATCTTGCTTTTTGTTTGTGTAGTTTGTTCATCAGAGAAAAAATGTTGGCAGTGTTTGAAAAGTCAGTGGCCAATAGCCCAGAGGCTCTGCGTAGCCCACAACCGGACTCCGTCACCGCACTCAAAGATGGGTCATTGGCTAAACACTTTGGCTTTCTTTACTCTGCCTCTGTCACCGTCAATCTTGGCGACGCTGGTCTCATGGCCTACTCTATTGACAAGCAGAACCCGCTTTTACCAAGGTACTATTCACCAATTAATACCCGTCTTATTCGTTTTGATCCGATCCTTATTATTAATGGATCGGGTTCATTTTTTTTAATTATTACTTTATTGGATGCTTTATTCATATATGTGGATAAGGATAACAAATTTATGTGTTATTGTTCTTTTATGGTTCTGATGCAAAGCAAAATTCAATGGATGTGTTGAATCCTTTTATAGATCTTGGTCAGATTTTCTGAAGAAAATTTTAATGAAAAGTGTATCATTTTTACGATTTCTGAAGTAAATTGGTTCAAAAATCTGTTTATTCAATTTGGTTTCATGGTTCTCATTTGCCCTGTTGTTATTATGGTGATTTTTTATTTAAAATAAAAAAATAAAAAAAGAAGGTTCTGGGTTATGTGGTGTGCAGCCACTGGATATAATAAATAGTCCAAATCTAGAGATTCTTTAGTTTCATTTTCACATCATAATTAATATGTTGTTATACGCATGTTATTGAGAAAGACGAAGTACAAATTCAGTTCATTGGTACTATTCTATTTATTGCTTAAATATTTTTGTCATTTTATTAGTTGTTTGGATGTGCCATGGAACAACAAAATTGATCTTTTTTGTTTTTTGTTATACTTTCAAATGAATTTCTTTTGCTTCTGACTTTATTTGATGGAGAATATGATTTTATTTTTACTTAAATAATTTTAGTGGTATTGACTATACATTGACCTGTGATTTGTGTCTTCCTTAGCTCGTTGGCGTTGTGTATCAGTTTTTAATGATTGTCTCACTGTTCCATGGCTTCACAGATGTGTTCCATCTAACTTAAAACCAGTTCATCTTTGTTATCTTCCTTATGCTTGTCAATGGAGATTCACCACTGTTTTCTGTTGGATCATTGATCTGTAATTTGATGTAGCTCCTTTTTGGTCTCAGATTATTTGCAGTTGTGGACGACATTTTCTGCTTGTTTCAAGGCCACATCGATAATGTTGCTCTTCTTAAGCAACAATATGGACTTAACAAAGCAGCAAATGAAGCTATTATTGTTATTGAAGCCTACAGAACTCTCAGAGATCGGGGTCCTTATCCTGCTGATCAGGTCGTTAGAGACTTCCAGGGGAAATTTGCATTTATTCTCTACGATAGCTCTTCAAAAGTTACATTTGTAGCCGGGGTGAGTAAACTTTTAGCCTAAGACGTTATCCTCCAATGTTCACCAGCCTTAGTTTCTTCTTCCTACTTAAATTCCCCCTTTAAATATGCTTATGATTAGCATCATTTGATCAAGCTTAATTTTATATTTTTTGAGCCGTGCAGGATGCTGACGGGAGTGTTCCCTTCTTCTGGGGTACTGATTCTGAAGGCCATCTCGTGCTTTCAGATGATGTAGAGATTGTGAAAAAGGGCTGTGGGAAGTCTTTTGCACCATTCCCTAAAGGTATATGCAAAAATCGATGTATATTAAATCATAGTTGTTATTGATTTGATATTAATTTAGCGTTTGTAATTAATACATTGGGAAATCCCAGCTGCATGAAAAATTAGGATTCGCTGATGTTCTTGTTGCCATACATGCATCTTGGATCTCTGCACACTCCTTGATCAACCAATTTTTCGGGGTTCTTACCATGATTATCCTATCAACTTCCTGTTGTTCATGTTTGGATGAAAGTGAAAAAACTTTTCTGTTTCTTGCGGACACATTTTAAGTACTATCTCTATTACCATGGGCCTACATAGGATCTTTTTTTCGATTTCAAAACAATTTGACTGCACATAAACAAGATTGCTCATTTTTTCTGGTTCTGCTGTTTCTTTATCAGGGTGCTTCTTTACATCTTCTGGAGGATTGAGGAGCTTTGAGCACCCCCTGAATGAATTGAAGCCAGTGCCAAGGGTGGACAGCTCCGGCCAGGTTTGTGGTGCAACTTTCAAGGTGGATGCAGAGGCTAAGAAAGAATCAGGCATGCCAAGAGTTGGGAGTGCTGCAAACTGGTCCCAGAACTACTGAGCTCATTACTATTTCCTTTCTCATGAGGCTTTTGTTATTAGTGAGCCTTTCATTGGTTTTATTTCATCGTTTCCTGAGTGCCCATTGCTATGTTCATGACTTTTATGCTTCAATGGGCAGTCGACTTTGAAACTGTTATAAGTTTTTCCAAAAACTAAGACAGTATGTATGCGGCTATACACATTGCTTACTGTTTAAACTAAGCCTAGGCTGCATGGCATATACCAGGGAATAATATTAACTTGCACAAAGACTTGCTGATATTTCCAAAGTTGTTTGTATGATGTTGACACTTGTTTACTGTTTGAGGTCCAAATTGTGGGATGGAATTTTCTCTGCTTTGATCTTAATGATCATGTATATTGAAAAAGGGAGCACTCTCCTTTTAAGCCAATCTCTATGTAAATGTCAAAATACATATTGAACTTAATCTCTGAGAAGAGCTGCTACGGGGTACTTTCGTTTCGCACCATGGAAAACATAACTGAATGGTAGTATTAACCCTTTTCTGCTGCAGAAAATTAAAACAGTTTATAACACTTTACACAAGCACTACTAGATAACAGGGTAATGAAACATCCTTAATTTTGCTGCTTCCATGTTGCCAATGGACTATGACCTGATCTTTGGGTTAGTCCTTTGCGTCGGCAATGCCCCCTGGTGTTATCTGAAACACGTATTTTTGTCATGGATAACTTCCCAAAAATATGGTAATCTTCTTAACAGGTGATTTAAAATTTTAAGAATTCCTTCATGCCGAGTCTTCTTAGTGTGAGATGACAGTGCTATTTTCTGTTAAGACACAGTCTACTTGTGAAAAGAATGCAACTATGTATATGCATTACGTCTATATTGAAGTGTATAATAACGTAGTAAGGTAAGGATATTGCTTCAGCTTCGGGCAGATTTGGGGCATCAAACACCTTGCAGACACGTTGTTCACCTTTGCCTTTCCTGAACATCAATCTTATTGTAGCTGCATGAGCAAGCACATGCCCCCCCGCTGGTTTCTTTGGGTCTGATATGAACATTCCCCCTCCAGGATCAGCTATGACTGCAACATATTAAGTAGTCCAGCAAAAAAAAATTAGATATCATATAATGAATGAGGTCAATTTGTTAAAATTAGGCTGTTGAGTTTGCTGACTAATGCCTCTATAGTCTGCTCCTAATACCGCAGAGCATTAGTGGTTCAACATCTGGAGTGCAAAACGAACCAGTCCCATTGAAAATAAGAGAGACACGAAGTTGAAGGGTTAAGCTGTTAGTATATGTCATTTATAGCTTGTGCTACCTGTAAGTAAGTTTTCTGGCTAAAAGAAGAGGTCAATTATACTCGCAAGAGTTACCTTGGTTGGTCATGTAGACTGCAACATTAAATTCCTCAGCTATCTTTGTCAATCGGGAGAGCATCTGTCCCAGTTTTTGCTGCAAATGGCAAGTTGCTCATCTCAGGGAAGATCAAGATAAAGAAAAGATTATATGTTCTAAGGTAGTGTGGGCATCTCAAAAACTCTTTTAAGTAAACCTGCCGATCTGCAAGCTCCCCTCTTCCTGTGAAATCTACTCGAAAGAGGGCAATCACTGAATCTACAATCTGAAAACATGTGCGCTCATAAACATTAATTCACTGCACCTCATGATTTTGGTAGCAGAGAACAAATCTATTGGCAAAAGACTCACCACAAGTCTGAATGGTTCTTCAGACATTTTTGCAGCCAGACCAAGGAGCAGGTTATACTGATGCTCATATGTGTATGCACGAGCATAAATGATCTTTCACATTAAAAGAAAAGCAAACAAATTATGTTATGTGCTTCTGTAGCGAATAAATATTTACACGGAGTGATGGGAAGATGATGTTACATTGTCAAGGACAGCTCCGGGGTCCATTCCAAATCTTTCGGCTATGGGTACAATTCGATCAGGGCGGCTGCAAGTTCACACAGTTAAAAGAAGAAATCAAACATGATGAAACTGGGCAATTTACATGAAAATTATCATAGTTTATTTTTTGAATGAGAAAAGAAATTAAAAAGCTACAAAAACATACAAAGTTCCTTCTGTGTCGATGTAAGCAACCTTTCCATTCCCACCCCGCATGTTTGTAGGAAGCTGTAATAGGAAACCCGAATGCTTAAATCATCATGGCTTTATGTACATATTGTGATTTCATTTTGGATAAGTAGTTTTCTGTTTCTTTATGGTCATTGACTCAATGCTACTATTAACTATTATTCACTACTGCGTAATGCAACAGCCATAAATCATATCAGCTTTTCAAATTAAAATAGATCCATCTTCTTAAAAAAAAAAAAAAAACCAAAATGACTATGAATTGAAGTCAATTTCCACTATTTTTTTTTCTTTTTACTTCCTCAAATGCCTTAAGTCTACAGACTATAAAAGGACCAACAAAGAGCATATTCACCATTACACACATAAACCATATGGAGGCATATATTATCAAGTCTAAGAAACTAACCTGCGTGGAAACACATAGAGTATGGGCAAGTTGTGTTTTGCCAGACCTGAATGAAAATTCAATAGAGAAGTTGAATGACGTGAATGTATAAATCTAAAGCGAAGCAAGATGAATGATTATTAGTTATCAACATAAACAGGAAATGAGTTTGTGTTCCTCACCGAAACTCCCCAAAAGCTTCCGTAATAGCATTAGTTTCAATCCCACCTTTTAAAAATTTACGGACAAATCATCATAGCAAATTAAGAATGCATAAATGATAATGTAACCAAAAATGGAACATCTCAAGACAATAAAATTACCGCCTAATAGTTCATCAAGGGCTTGGCTTCCAGTTGTAATTTTAATCACTGACTTCCTCTGTTAACCAAAACAAAATCCAGTTTTAGGCTCATAGTGGGGGAAAAAAAACCAACAGTAAGATTCAAAAGCACTAACAAAAACTTTAATTAGGGAGCGCATATCACCGTAAATAAAACTGGATTTTGTTAACGTGTTAGGGGAAACATTTACGAAATCTCTTGGAATCGAGAATTAAAAAAAAAAAATTCAGATATGATCAAATGGCTTAGTTTCAAATTACAAAATAGTTTGAACTTACTCTCAGCAGAGCATCACTTCCAGTAATATAACCAAAATTCTGCAAATTAAAATTGAAGAGAGGGATAAGAAAAAGGAATGAGTAACAAAAACATATAATTGCATTAAAATAAAATAAATAATGTCTAGAGAGCACAAACCACTATCTTCTCAGCAGCTTCGCAGATCTTTTCAACTTTTGCCTCAGATAATCCTTTGATTCCAGTCAAATGCTGTGAAATGAAATTATAATTGATGTCCGAATCTCCAACAACATAAAAATGATTCGACGATTGATTCTACCTTCTTTGTGTGCATCATCAAGCCATTGCAGGTGTATATCCCTGCATCTTGAAGCTTCTTTACATCTCCAGCATTGATTCCTTGAGAGGTCACTGCACGAATTGCACACAATAACGTTATCTAATCAGTTAATAACCAGATGAAGTCAATCTTGCCCCGTCTGTTCAAGTAAAATTAGCTAGAAACTATCAATTAATGTCAAAGCAGAGTACAATTCCGATTTAGAGGAAATTCATTTTCAAATATGATTTTATCTATATATGTACGTGCAACATTTGAAAATCCACATCTGATTCGGCGGAAACTGTAAATAGAGCAACACAAGCTAAATCAAATTCAACTGAGATTCTAGAATACACTCAAAAAATGATACAACTATAAACGAAGACCAGAGAACGATACAGCGTCGTGAATTTTAACACATCATTTGCCAGAAATAGGCCAAAAATGACACTCAAAGCTTCCTCAAACAAATTGAATCGCTTAAAATACAAAAACACTCGAACAGTGTGAATCAACGAGTTTATTGCAAATCGAACATTTCAAAAGCTTACATACGTTTATCAATTGCTTCGAACAAGTCTTCTTCGTCATCAATATCTTCTCTCTCCACAAGCTGGAGCTGGCTTTGATCTTCGGCTCTGAGCCACACCAAAGACAGAAAGCGATTAAACGGTGAGGCGGAGTTATTTCATTTGAATAAAAAAGATAAATAGAATCAGATCTGTCAACTTACTTGAGACTAGCAATCATCTTCGTTTTCAGTAGAGAAAATCTCTTCTGAATTTAAGATTTTATGTTTGTTTTTGCGTGATTGGCTTGCGTATAAATAAGTATTTTGAATTGTGAGTTGTTATTTTGAAATGTGAGAAAGTCGTAAATTTATATGGCGGGAATCGGAATCGAATAAGCTACTTAAATTGGTTTAAATAATGGTTGAGGTACGTAATTGGATTTTGGACTACTTTATGCGAGAGTTCGTTATACGTGTGCTTGTTTCTGATTCTGTTACACTGTAATGTAAGCAGTTATTAAAATGTAGGGCTCCGATTTTACCATGTCAAATCTAAGGACAGTGGGACCATTTACGCCGCTCACGTTAATGTACCGTATGCATTTTATTTATTTTTCTGTTGATTTTATATTTGCCCTTTTCTCTTTTCTTTTACGCCTTCGGAGGTTACAATTTATACTGTACGTTTGATTGGGGTAACACGAGATTATTGAAGTTATGTCATCTTATATTATTTGATTATCACGTTTGATTATTAAGTAATATAAGATATCAGTAATCTTTAAATATTAATAATAGTTACTGTTGATAATATTTAGAGGACGTTTGGTTCAAAAATGTTAGATTACTGAGAATATTAGATTACTGAAAAGATAGATTACCTTGGAAGATTACTGGGAATCTTTAAGAAAATATGTTTGGTTAGTTGGTAGGTATGTTATATTAATATGTTTGGTTATAGGGAATAAATTGGTGAGTATGATATTTAAATTACTAAATTGTCCTCCTTTTAAATATTAATATAATATTATTTTTATTATAATTTTTTAATAATTTCTTTTAACCCTCAATATTTCAGATTTAGCTAAAACACCCCGCTTATATAAAACTTTAATTTATGATGAAATCACCCTCACCTCCTGCCGCCACCGCGAACCACAGCCAGAAAATCGCCGGAGTCCCTAAAAAAGAAGAAAATTATGTGGGAGGCTCCGGGGGGCTTCGATATGGCCGTTTTCGGTGATATCAAGCCAGATCATGCCTGATATGGCCGTTTTCGGCCATCAATATGGCCAGAAACGGCCATAGTGAAGCCTCCCGGAGCCTCCCACATAATTTTCTTCTTTTTTAGGGACTCCGGTGATTTTTCAGCGGTGGTCCGTGGTGGTTGGCCCACTGTCGGCGGTGGTGGTGGTGGTGGTTAGGTGGCAGTGGTGATCTGTAAATAATTTTAAATATAAGGGCATTATTGTCTAAAATTTTAATTAAACAAGAGCAAAATTGAAATAGGATATTAATGTAAATTTGTTTTAAAGTATGGGTATTATTGTCCAAAACTTTTATTAATAAGGGATAAAATTGTAACAAAAAAAGATAACCCTGGTAATCTCAGAATACCTAAGAAAATTGAGGTAATCAGATTATCTCAGATATTACCAATAGTAACTACCATTGGTATTTGAAGATTACCGGTATCTTATATTACTTGACAACCAAATATAGTAATCAAGTAATATAAGATGACATTACCCCAGTAATCTCACTTAACCTCCAACCAGACGCCCCCTTAAGGTAATCTGATTACCTTCATTTTTTTAGGTATTCTAAGATTATTAGGGTCATATTTTTTGTTACAATTCTATCCCTTATTAATAAAATTTTAGAACAATAATGCCCTTATTTTTAAATTTATTTACATGAATATGGTTTTTACAATTTCACCCCAATTAATTAATTTTTTAGACAAAATTATCCTTGAATTCAAAACAAATTGCAGCTCACCCAAGCCACCACACCCACCCCCACCCACCTACCACCGACAACCACCGCCGCCACCATCGGAATGGCGCACAGAAGGCCGAAAATAGCCGTCGTGCACAAATATGGTCATTTCCGGCCAAATCTAATTTGACCATTTGTGGCCGTTGACTGCTAGATCCATCATCAATCTAGCCGTCAACGGCCATCAACCTGGTCATTGACGACTAGATCTGTCATGTCTGGCCATTTCCGACCAGATCTCTGGCCGAAAATGGTCATACAAAGCACGTAGGCCATTTCTTGCCTTCTGTGGGCCACCAAGTTGTCAGCTGCTGGTGGCTTGCGGTGGTTGCCCGCGACCGACAACGGTTGGGTTAGTGGGGGTGCTTTGTTGATTTTCCAAACTTTTATTATGGGGTTGTTTTTGCTAAGTTTTTAAATGCAGGGGGGTTATACAATCTAAATAATAATAAAAATTAAGAAATAATATAATAATAATATTTAATTAGAGGACAATTCAGTAATTTAAATAACATGCCCACTAATTTATTCCTCCCAACCAAACATATTAATATAAAATATCTACCAACTAACCAAACACATTTTTCTAAAGATTCCCAGTAATCTTTAAGATAATCTAACTTTCTAGTAATCCAATATTCCTTAAACCAAACACATCGTTACAAAAACTTTATATAAAGTCTTTCCTATATGATGACATGTCTGATTATGATTATAAAAATTAATATGAAAAATCAATTTAATAAATGCACATTAAATTATTATGAATGATATAACAATATATGAGTAGTGTCATGTCACTTTGTATGAATGATTTTGTATAAAGTCTTTGTAAGTGTAGTATTACTCTTTATTTTTTGTTATATCACTTTGTATGAAGATTTTTATAAGATTTCTTTGTAAGTGTATCGTTACTCTTTTTAAAAATTATGGGAGTGGAATGTTGATTGTTTTCTATACTTGAGGGTATCAAATGTCGTTTCATGAAAGATAGGGTGAAAAAGGAATTTGGCTATATCATCTAGACCTAAATATTTGGAAAAACTTTAGGGTCTCATTTAGATTGTGAGATTCTAAATGAATGATTTGGTTAAATCCATGAATTTGATAAAATCCTTCATTTTTTTTTTTTTTAAAAAAAAAAAAATTAAAATCTATGGATTTTGGAAAATCCACCGCCTTCTAGAATTCTTCATTTTTTAGGATTTTAAAATCTTACCTACCAGGTGGGATTTTGTTAAATCTACCAGTTTTAATAAAATGAGAGATTTTGTTAATAGTTTAATTTTTCAACACTGTCCTTATAATTTAATATCCCAGTAATTACCTTTTATTCTAATTAAAAAAAATATATTTGTTGTTCTCTTTTTTTAAGCTCTTCACCTTTACATCATCAGCATCTTCGAGTATACTCAATAAATAATCTACCTATGAGTTTCCATTCCCTTAACTAATTATTTTCAATTTCTTATTTGCAAAAGCTCTTTTATTATTTCAATTTCTCATGATGATTCTTTTTGTTATTAGATTAAAAACTTGTCAATGGTGGTTTTTTGTTTTTCATAAAACATTAAATCAATAATGTCATTGCAAATAGCCCTCAAACTTGTTATATATATATATAGGGGTCTTTTTGCAAAGCAACGGATCCCACACAAGACGAAGGGAGAGGGTTAAAGGAAGGATATATATATTAACTTTTAAATTCATCAAATTAAATTATTAGTTTTTACAAAAAAATCCCACAAACACATTTAATAAATTATATAATGAATTTTATATCTATTATTTAATTATACAAAGAACAAAATGAAAAAAAGTTTGTATATATTTCATATATTCTATAAAGTAAATATCATTTATAAAATTTGTTTGTCAAAACTGAGACCAGGGCCCCTCACTTAAATTGCGGATGCTCAGATGAAGAGTCGAACTTGAGACCGCGTGCCTATCTGCATTATCCCCTATTCGTTCTAACCATCTAGACTACCCACAGATATGTCATATCAAAATATCGAAGTTAAAATATATATATATATATATATATATATATATATATATAAAACAAAAATTATAATATTTTATTATAAAAGATAGATAAATTCTTGAATATTTTATTGATAAAAAATTTATTGTAGTTCAATTTGGAGGTGTTATTATTTGTGTTAGCTTAATAACTTGTTAGTAATTTTTATTAGTTTTGTTTTATACTCGTTAAAGTACTATAAGTTTATTCTATATCGTCAAGCACAATTATAAATATATTAATTGTAAAGAACATTATAAATAAATACTCATATTTTTGTATAACTTATACCTAATATATTATTTATTATAAGTTTATTTACAATTGTATTGTTAAGTTTAATTAATGTTTTGACCTCCCGAAAATGAGTTCCTGGCTATGTCCCTAGTCCCACAATATATAGATTGAGGACAAACTTTGATCATGTCTCTACAATTTCATCTATGAGCTTTCTTATGCTATGCATGCTTGAGATTTATATATTGTATAACTAGGTAATTCTATAAAAAAAAAAATAATAATAAATAACATAAAAAACGAGATTGTTCTCATTCCTCATATGCTGTTATATTTTGTATGTATAGATGAGTGTGCAAATGTACTTTATACTAGTGAAAGACACTGTTTTTTAATTACATAGTCAAACTAACTAAGTATGCAAGGTTTTTTTTTTTTTTTTTTTTTGGATATGGTGTTAGTGCATTATATTAACACTAATTTTCTATATAAGTATGGTTATATTATCTGTTTATTATGAAATTATTCAACTTGATTATAAATGAAGATAGTTGATAATATATTATATTAATTTGGAATTCTATTGGTTTTTTTAGTCAAATAACAAAAAATCATTTATTATAATTGAACTTCTCTATAAAATATAGTTTAACCTGTATTTAATTAGATGAAAGTTGAATTTTTTTTTTTTTGGGTTTTGGATATTGAGGGTAAAGTTAGAAATTATTTATCAAATCCATGGATTGTATTTATCTAATCAAACATGAGTGCATGAAAATTTGAATCAACAACCCATAGGTTTTATATTTAAACCAAACAATGAAATTTATCAAATCCATGGATTTTTAAAATCCCTTGATCTAAACGAAGGCTAGGTTTTTGGAAAAAACTTTAGGGATGAAGATGTCATTTTCTCTTGAAGATTTATCCCGTTTTAGTGGTAATGGTACAAAACAGTGAGTAACCTTGCCCGATATGCATATCCAATTACCGTCGGAGCTCTGAACCGGGTTCTGGACAAACGTTAACCTA